TTTGTGTGAGTTTGTTCTGGTGTGAGTTTGTTCTGTTGAGTTGTTCTGGTGTGAGTTTGTTCTGGTGTGAGTTTGTTCTGGTGTGAGTTTGTTCTGGTGTGAGTTTGTTCTGTGAGTTTGTTCCGGTGTGAGTTTGTTCTGGTGTGAGTTTGTTCTGGTGTGAGTTTGTTCTGGTGTGAGTTTGTTCTGGTGTGAGTTTGTTTCTGGTGTGAGTTTGTTCCGGGTGGAGTTTGTGGTGGTGAGTTTGTTCCGGTGTAGTTTGTTCCGGTGTGAGTTTGTTCCGGTGGAGTTTGTTCCGGTGTGAGTTTGTTCTGTGAGTTTGTTCTGGTGTAGTTTTTTCCGGGTGAGTTTGTTCTGGTGTGAGTTTGTTCTGGTGTGAGTTTGTTCTGTGAGTTTGTGGTTTGGTGTGAGTTTGTTCTGTGAGTTTGTTCCGGTGTGAGTTTGTTCCGGTGTGAGTTTGTTCTGTGAGTTTGTTCTGGTTGTGAGTTTGTTTCCGGTGTGAGTTTGTTCTGTGGAGTTTTGTTCTGTGAGTTTGGTTCCGGTGTGAGTTTGTTCGGTGTGGAGTTTGTTCCGGTGTGAGTTTGTTTCCGGTGTGAGTTTGTTTCCGGTGTGAGTTTGTTCCGGTGTGAGTTTGGTTCCGGTGTGAGTTTGTTCCGGTGTGAGTTTGTTCAGGTGTGAGTTTGTTCCGGTGTGAGTTTGTTCCGGTGTGAGTTTGTTCCGTGTGAGTTTGTTCCGGTGTGAGTTTGTTCCGGTGTGAGTTTGTTCGGTGTGAGTTTTTGTTCCGGTGTGAGTTTGTTCCGGTGTGAGTTTGTTCCGGTGTGAGTTTGTTCCGGTGTGAGTTTTGTTCAGTGTGAGTTTGTTCCGGTGTGAGTTTGTTCCGTTGTGAGTTTGTTGAGTTTGTTCCGGTGTGAGTTTTGTTCCGGTGTGAGTTTGTTCCGGTGTGAGTTTGTTCCGGTGTGAGTTTGTTCCGGTGTGAGTTTGTTCTGGTGTGAGTTTGTTCTGGTGTGAGTTTGTTCGGTGTGAGTTTGTTCCGGTGTGAGTTTGTTCCGGTGTGTTTGTTCTGAGTTTGTTCTGTGAGTTTGTTCTGGTGTGAGTTTGTTCTGTGAGTTTGTTCGGTGTGAGTTTGTTCTGGTGTGTTTGTCCGGTGTGAGTTTGTTCTGTGAGTTGTTCTGTTGTTCCGGTGTGAGTTTGTTCCGGTGTGAGTTGTTCTGGTGTGAGTTTGTTCCGGTGTGAGTTTGTTTCTGTGAGTTTGTTCTGTGAGTTTGTTCCGGTGTGAGTTTGTTCCGGTGTGAGTTTGTTCCGGTGTGAGTTTGTTCCGGTGTGTTTGTGAGTTTGTTCTGGTGTGAGTTTGTTCCGGTGTGAGTTTTTCCGTGTGAGGTGTGAGTTTGTTCCGGTGTGAGTTTGTCTGGTGTGAGTTTGTTCCGGTTGAGGTGTGAGTTTGTTCGGTGTTGAGTTTTTTGTTCTGTGAGTTTGTTCGGTGTGAGTGTGTTCCGGTGTGAGTTTTGTTCGGTGTGAGTTTGTTCCGGTGTGAGTTTGTTCCGGTGTGAGTTTGTTCCGTGTGTGAGTTTGTTCCGGTGTGAGTTTGTTCCGGTGTGAGTTGTTCTGGTGGTGAGTTTGTTCCGGTGTGAGTTTGTTGAGTTTGTTCTGGTGTGAGTTTGTTCCGGTGTGAGTTTGTTCTGGTGTGAGTTTGTTCTGTGAGTTTGTTCTGGTGTGAGTTTGTTCTGTGAGTTTGTTCTGGTGTGAGTTTGTTCTGGTGTGAGTTTGTTCTGGTGTTAGTTGAGTTTGTTCTGTGTTCTGGTTTGTTCTGGTGTGAGTTTGTTCTGGTTGAGTTTGTTCTGTGGTGTTGTGTGAGTTTGTTCTGGTGTGAGTTTGTTCTGTGAGTTTGTTCTGGTGTGAGTTTGTTCCGGTGTGAGTTTGTTCTGTGTGAGTTTGTTCTGGTGTGAGTTTGTTCTGGTGTAGTTTGTTCTGTGAGTTTGTTCCGGTGTAGTTTGTTCTGTGAGTTTGTTCTGTGAGTTTGTTCTGTGAGTTTGTTCTGGTGTGAGTTTGTTCTGGTGTGAGTTTGTTCCGGTGTGAGTTTGTTCCGGTGTGAGTTTGTCTCTGTTTGTTCCGGTTGAGTTTGTTGGTGTGGTGTGAGTTTGTTCCGGTGTGAGTTTGTTCCGGTGTGAGTTTGTTCCGGTGTGAGTTTGTTCCGGTGTGAGTTTGTTCCGGTGTGAGTTTAGTTTGGTGTGAGTTTTCGGTGTGAGTTTGTTCTGGTGTGAGTTTGTTCTGTGAGTTTGTTCTGGTGTGAGTTTGTTCTGTGAGTTTATTCTGGTGTGAGTCTGTTCTGGTCCTGGTTCTGGTTGTGCTCTGTGTGTCTTTCAGTAGCTGTTCCTTCTGTCTCCGCTCCCAAACGTTTGATGTAAATTGTCCATAAAAAGCTGTGGCACGTTCGACTGTTTCACATCCAAAAATAACCCAAACCCACAGCCGCCCACGGACGCTCCACAGACGTGAACTCAGAGGGAAACTCTTACCAAGTGTGGAGATTTGAAACTCCATCAACATGAATCTGTGTCCCTAGATACGAGATCTGCAGGTTTAAATTAAATATTACATCAGATATAACTTTAACTGAAGACAACTGTCGTAGTGACTTATTCTGAATCACAAAAACACTGGACACTGCTTCTGTTTCTGTTTGAATTTAGTGTTTTGGTTCAGTTCAGTGGTTTATCCAATCAGAAAGCAGAATGAGCTTTTGAATGTTTTTCGCTTTCTACCCTGTTATAATATTGAGACGTCATCCAAGCATGTTTGAGTAATTTAGTGATCTCATCTATATTTCCCTGTATTTGACCCATGCTTCAGTGTGTCTGGGTTAAACGTCTCAGGAGCAGTGGGCAGTGTTGGGAAGGTGACTTTTAAAATGTAATCCCCTACAGGTTACAGATTACATACCCCAAAATGTAGTTTGTAACATAATCCATTAAGTTACTTAAGGTGGGTAACGTAATCTGAATACTTTCAATTACTTGGTTTGCTGTAGAGAAGCTGTTTTATCTGTTAAAAGAAAATAAAAAGCCCAGACTTTCCTTAACCAAATTAAAAATGTTATTGATTGAAGAGGAGGAGACACGTCCACGCAGCATGGTTTAGTCCTTTTAAATCCTGTTTGAGACATGGTTTAGTCTTGGTTTAGACCTGGTTTAGTCCTGGTTTAGATCTGTTTATGTGTCAGGCAATGAGTGATTATCGAAAAAAAAAAGAAAAAAAAAGGGATATAACCTGAAATGTGAAAACAGGAAAACACCTCTGGTAATCCTTTATTTCAACCAATAACTGTTAATCAATTACCATCACTTAAACAGTAACTGTAATGATACAGTTACTCATAATTTGTACTCTGATTACGTAACTCCGGTACATGTAATCTGTTACTCCCCAACACTGGCAGTGGGACCCGGTCACACGCTGCTATTCCCACATGCCTCTATTTACACAGTTACGTCTAACCGGGAGAGGGGGACTTTCTCTCCGGCCTTTAGTCGGCTGCGTCACTGTGATGTATCGAGTTAGAAAATCAGCTTCTATATCATAATAAAATGAAATGTGAATGTACCAGACCAAATGTGGGGCCTTGTTTATGTCATTTTACTGATCTTCCCGATGCGGCACACAATTTCTCAGTCTGTAAAATCAATATAATCCTCATTTTCTCGCAGAAGTTTACTATGAAATCCTATTTGAAACATTTTTCTCTTGTTCTCCATGTCTACAGCATCTGAAACTGTGGATTTGGGAAGAAATATGAATTATTTCCTTAACTGCTGCCATGAACATCATCAACTCATGTCAGGTGTCATGTCAGCAGTGTTGGGAAGGTGACTTTTAAAATGTATTCCCCTACAGA